TTTTTTTTAAACATATCTTTATTGATACCAGAGAGAGGAAAGGAGAGGGAGAGAGAGAGAGAGAAACATTAATGATGAGAGAGTGATTGATCGAGCCCGCAACCCAGGCATGTGCCCTGACCGGGAATTGAACCCCAATCGCCTGGATCCCGGGTTGATGCTCAACCACTGAGCCACGCCCGGCCGGGCTTTTTGGCATCTTTTTATGCCAACCCTATCCTGTGCAGACAGCATCCACCTTGTTTATTTGGGAGGACCAGTGGTTCTGTTTCCCCTGCCTGTGAACTGACTTATATGAGTACATATTAAGTAGCATTTTGGCCTCAATAGAGATACAGTAATAAGTCAGGGCAGAGTTACTTCCTTGAGGAGTGAATCTCTGGTTGTGTAGAGAGCGAGCTTAGATTCCTGAAATGTTAGAAGACAATCAGGAAGCTAAAACCACCCAATGGTAGATGACTAAGGAAAGCAATGCCTTGAAGGACCGATGGGCGTGCACAGGCAAGAGTGTTTTACATCTAACAACATGCACATTGTGTTTCATTCTTACAACCCTGTGAAGTAAAAGGGTTGATCATGTTACACATTAAAAAAAAAAATACAAGGTTTGGGGACACGGAAGGACTTAGGGATGTTAAATGCTCCCCAGGGTCATATGGCATCTACCTGATGGAGGCTGGAGCTTAGGTCTTGCAGCTTCAAAAGGAAAGCTCTCTAACTTATATAGTATCCCCCCTCTCACTTTTGAAATAAGAGAAGTATGTCTGATGACTGGAGGCCTGGGGAAGGCCTGCGGGAAAGAGCAGATCTATCTAGGACTGATTTGAGTTAATGGAGAAAAGGGCAGACTGGCCTCAAACCCAGGTACACTGCTGAGTGTGGCATCTGCGGAACATGAAAATGAAGCCTCTTTCACATTTTTTTAACCACAACCACAATAGGAAATAGGTTTCACACTTCAGTCCTCTGCACACGTCCGTGCTTATATGGAGAAATGATTAATGAGCCAGTACTGCTCTGAAATACACGCAGTACACTCAAGTTTATCGTTTCTTCTGCACTTTTTGTGAATGCTGGTTAATGCCAGAGCGAGAGGTTGTGACCATACTTTGAAAAACACTGGACAAGAAGGTTCCTATTGTCTCTGACAGGAACAGATGATGCTGAATAGATAACAAGGGGCCAGCCTGGAGGGGAGAGGTCTGAAGTGCCAGGACTGGCCATGTGGGGGGGATAGGGCAGAAGTTCATGGACCACCTAGTACTCGGAGCATTTGGGGAGGTAGTTTTCTGCCTAGAACTTGAGCAGACTTTGATAATGTGTAGAAAAAAGGAGGATTATAAACGTTGAAAGTTGGGTAATATAAGAGTTTGAAGAATCCCTTTAGCTCTACGTTTGCATTAGCAAGGTGTGAGAGCTTTTGAAAGTGCCATCAATGCTTTCTGACGCCTTCTCTGTTAAGGAAAATGATGCTCCTGCTGTACGCGGAAGGACTGCGCGTCGTCATTCACACCTCCAACCTCATCCGCGAGGACTGGCACCAGAAAACGCAAGGGTGCGTGGGTTCTGTGTGCTGTCTGCCAGCGGCTGCGTGAGCTGACACAGGGCAAAGCCAGAGCATTCACTTTCTTCTTTTGTGTTTCTGTTTTTTCTAATTGTAAAAAATCCACACACATGGCATAGAAAAAAAACACATGCAGAAAAAATGATAGTGTTCTTTTAGTCCCCCCCCCCCCACATTTAGTGCACAATCATCCACAAATGTCTATTATACATGTAAACACAGGTAAATATCTACATACGGTAGGTTTTTTCATTTTTTTATAAAATGAGATCATTCACACTCTACAGGCAGGTACATCCGAGTATTCAAGGCAGGAAAGAGGATGCCAAGCGGAAGGTCTGAACCCATTATTCTCCCAGTAAGACCACCGATAACCTTTTGGTCTCCACTTACCCCTGCGCCACGTGGACTCAGGCTCGCCACCTCCCAGTGGGTATCAGACAAAAACTTGGGGATTAATCGTGTGCTAAAAATTCCCCTTACCCCCCAATCCGTGTAGTTTCCCACAAAACACATCTACACAGTGTTTTTTAAAAGCCTTTACTGTGTTCATGGGCTTGTGAATCTTGAAGAGAATGAACGTGGGGTTGTTTGGGCTTTGTCTATATTGCCGAGCCTTTGTCCTAGGTGCGTATATGTTGTGCGCATATGTCTAGCTTTCTGTTTTTTCTCAAGAGGGGTTTGAGTTTGCTTTTAGGTATTTGCCTAAATCAAGTTTTAACCATTGCTCTCCCTCCCGGTGAGCCCTGCTTTGCAAGTAGCCGTAACTCACCTTTTTCTCACCTAAGCCGTTTTGTACACTCCGCCTCCTGTTCAAGAAGGTTAAGAGCTGGGGAACTGCCTTTGTTAGAGGAAACGCAGGCACTCTTAGAGCAGCTTTCAGGGTCAGGCATTTTCCACTCATCCTCCCCCACCCACCTTGCCCCTTATCATTGCCCAGCCTGTGCCCACCCCTCACATGGGATGGATTAGCTGACTGAGTCCAAGTCCTGCCATGGGTTGAGCTAAAATGCAGAGCCTTCCAGCCTCCGTCCACTGGGCCTGCTTCAACATGAGTGTGTGTGTAGGAAAAGAGGTACCTCTCTTCCTTAAGACAGCCTGTCTGGGTTGGAAAGAATGTCTTTTCCCTGAGCCCAACACCCCTTAGTTCCCTCTCTGCACTCTGCTCCCCCACCCCAGCAGGTGGCTTTGAGCCCTATCCCATTTCCTGATCTGTTTCCTTTAAGCATGTTCCAGTTTGAGTCCCACTTAAAACCTGCTTCTCACAATGCAGGGTAGCAGACAGGTTCAGGGTCGAGGGCATTGCTGATGTAGTCGTGGGCAAAATCCTGCTGGGGTTACTACAGGTGGTGCAGATTTGCTATGACAGTTGAGAGCAGAGCTATTAACTGTCTTCCTCACGTCTCAGAGCAGTGTGGAGGGCACAGGAAGGAGGAGGGGGAAGGTGTGAACAGATGAGAGGGAGCATGGAGGGGTTGGGTTGGGAGAGCTGGGCAAAGGATAGATCTTACTGGGTCTAAATAAATTCACAGCGAGGTGTTCAAAAGTAATTCTGAATGTGATGGAGGCTGTCCGAGTGGTATCATCAGATTTATGTTTTGTAACTATCGCTGTACTTAGCAGTTGGAGAAAGATGGTGAGAATTCACCTCTTAGGGCGAGTGCAGAATCAATACGGAGATGTCATTGTGACCAGCTGCCTTCCTGACTAATAGTCATTTTTTCCCATTCCAGAATATGGCTGAGTCCGTTGTACCCACGAATGACCCAGGGGACCCACAGATCTGGAGAATCGACAACACATTTCAAAGCTGATCTCATCAGCTACCTGATGGCTTACAACGCTCCTCCTCTCCAGGAGTGGATAGACATCATCCACGACCACGATCTCTCTGAAACAAAGTATGTGTCGTCTTCCCTGTTTAGAGTCCGCACAGTAGGTAATTCCTGGACAGCCGCACGGGGCCTGGAGAGAGGTGGAGTGATATTTGGCTAGCCTTCATGACGAGATGTCGCTGTGCATCTCCTGGTTCTCAGCCACCAAAGTGGAGCAGGAACTCTTGCCACGTACCCTCAGCCTCTGCTGGAGCCTTAAAATGAGCCGGTTCTCTGCCTGGTTCCCTACACCTTGTGGATGCTCCACCATTAGTCGATGTGCTTGAAAATAAGTTTAAGTATCAGTTACTCCTCTGAGGAAGTGTCCCAAGAAAATGGGTTGGCTCTTGGAATGGTTCATGATTACATTAGAGTCCATGTGTATTTTGTGGTTTTGGGTCCATAAATCACATCACTGTGGTCTGTAGCTTACATTTTATATCTTTGTAGTGTTTACCTCATTGGATCAACCCCGGGACGCTTTCAAGGAAATCAGAAAGATAACTGGGGACACTTTAGGCTTCGGAAGGTAACAGAATTTTTACTGTTTTAACTTTTTTAATTTATGTTGTCCCTCTTTTCACTTATAATTGTGTGTTTTGATGGCAGTGCCAGAGTATCTCTAGCACAGTTCTGGGCGAATAGCAGGCACATGATAAATTGTCTAATTATAGTTTTCAATAATTTTTAAAGTTTTGTTAGGCCTCTTCTGTAGGTGTAGACTGTTCTAAATGGGCTTTTAGTTATATATCTTGTAATAAAGGTAATCAGAGCCTTCTCATTTTGTAGCTTTTGATCAGCATATCAAGGGCTTTTAACATCCAAATTCAATAAAGAACAGACTATAGTGTTGAGTAGAGCTACAGCTGAGCTATAATGTTTTTTGTTTACTAAACCAGTGCTCTTAGAAAATAGTTACTACAGACATCACATTTACTGCAGGTATGAAAATGAACAAAGAAAGGTCTTTAACAAAATAAAACAACCAGCAAGTTGAAGATGAAAATTTTCTTCATCCCCTTTTAGGAAACACTTTACCGACAATATCCCTAAAGTGGCTTTCTTAAAAGCCTTACCTCTTTTTCCGTGAATTATTTATGTTATGTAAGAATCCCCCTTGGTTAATGAAAATTTTAATTTTATTTTTTTTAAATGAGAGCACAGCTGAAAGCAGGCAGCATCTCGCAGCCAACACCTTCACATCTTGACCTAGAGAGTAGAGCGCACCGCACTGGCCAAGTGCACAGCATTGCAGGTAGATGCCCACACCTGGGTTCGGAACCTGACCTGGTGTTTACAAGCCATGTCCTTGGCTTGCTCCTTAACCTGCCTTTCTTGTCATCTATAAAATGGGCATGATAGTAGTGCTTCACTCACAGAATTGTGTGAGGATTAAAGGAAATGGATGCAGGGCACATGCCGAGTGGTCACCCGACATTGGTGGTAATTTGTAGGCTGTTGGCTTCGACAGGTTGGTACTAAGTGCATGTGTTGTGTGGGATCACAGTCTTCTGAAAGCTGAAGAGCCTCTTAGAGTTTTCCAGCCACTCTTCGCACACAGGAGCTCATGTTGCACCACAGCTGCCTCCAGGGAAGACGGGAAGATCAGGGCTCTGTTTCATTGACGTACGTGGAGCAGAGGGACATGTCCAGGGTCATGCAGTTGATCAGGAGCCAAGCACAGAATAGACGCTAGGTCTTGTTGTTGTCAGTTCAGGCCTGTTCCCTGCACAGTGCTGCACCCGGGGTGCGAGTAGAGGATTATTTGGGCTTTTTGGTAGCAATGTCTATAAATATTGATGCCTAAGCTGTGTTAAAGAAAATAATCCACATTAAACTAAACAATACGTCAGTCAGAATACGAGCCCTGCCATGGGAGGCACCGTGGCTTATGTTTCTCACTCTCTCCAGCCTCTGTGTGGGCATTCAGTACATAGTTTAAGTGGATAAGATTTCCAAATATTTTCTGAATTGTTTCTCAAGCTTTGCACAAGTATCAAAACAGGAAACACCGATCAAGCTTAGTGTTTCAGGTTGTGTTGTCTATATGTAAATAGATTCTCTTTTATTTTAAGGACATCAGAGCCCAAGTGTTAAACCTCTTTCAGATGATAGGAGTCAGAATATACAGTAGCGTGGCCTTCTATGTATTGTGTAGGTATATTAAACAATTATGATTCCAAGGCAAAAATTAACTTCACAAGGCAGGGTGGTGATTTATCTGATATTCCTAGTAATATGGATCATTTTAAAATTTTTATTTGTTTTTGCTATTAGTACAAATCAAAGAATTTTGGGAGAAGAGGGCTTCTCCTCTCCACTCACTCCATTAAAATAAAATATTTTCAGAATCTAAAAACAATTTCCCAAAGAAGAAGAAAAAATGCATACGTGGGTATGGAATTGATCACTGATCCTTTCAGCATTTCTTTGTTAATTAGGGAAGTCAGGGTGGCCTCCGTGCCCTGAATCGTTGCCCTGAATCGTTACAGCATTTCTGTTCGTGTGTGTGAGTAATATGGCTTTCACTATTATTTCTTCACAGCTCCTGAAAGAACATGCCTCCTCCATACCTAAGGCAGAGTCTTGGCCCATCGTGGGCCAGTTTTCAAGCATCGGCTCCATGGGGCCTGACGAATCCAAATGGTTGTGTTCTGAGTTCAAAGAGACCTTAGTGACCCTGGGGAAGGAAAGCAGGGCCCCAGGGAAAAGTGCCGCTCCCCTCCATCTGGTAAGTGCTCCTCCCCGGGAGTTAATTATTTATTTGCATCCTCTAGTCTGGGAGAGGAATCCAGAATCAGTCCTTCTTGCCAGAGAGAGGTTGATTCAGTAGTTTGGGGATGGGAACAGCAGTGTTTTTAATCGGGTGGCCCTCTTATCACATGGTGCTGTGGCTTGCAGTTCAGCTAAAGCTTGGTGGTTTTGGTCACCAACGAGCCTGCAATTATCATTCCTTCCAGGTTGCCAAGCCCAGGAAAAAATATTGGATAAAGCAGCTCCCAGACAATTATGAGCATTGTTAATTACTTAGACACCTTTGAATTAATGGTTAATTTTGCATTCAATTCAGTGTTACTATGACATGTCACGAAAAACTCCAACCCAAGTATAATATTTTTATCATCAAATTAATTACCAGAAGTTCAATTTTTTCCCGTTAAGATGGGAACTTTTTAAAATTTAAAGCACGTTTTCTAAGTTTCTGAGGAGTTTTAATTGAGATTTTAATTTTCTTAAAAACTAATCAGCATTCCTTTTAATAAATAGTGTCTTCAACATGGTTCCTTTCAAGTTTTAATGGGGTTTTTTCTTATTTCTTTTCAGATCTATCCTTCTGTGGAAAATGTGCGGACCAGCTTAGAAGGGTATCCAGGTAATTGTTGGGAAGACTGTAACAGCTGTGTTTTTTGTGTATATGTCATAAATGCCCTGGTAAACGTTTAAAAACAATAAGAATGCCTTCCTCCTTGGGATGATAAATTTCTCTTAACTGGATAAGAATCGTGAACATATATAACATTGAGCACTGATAATGTTCCTGCAGTTGGGCAGGTTCTGTATGTTATTTAATTCTCACAATAGCCCTCTGAGTGGTTGCTAATCTCACTTCTACCAGTAAGGCTGCTCTCACCTCTCCCACCAACAGATTGGCTGTCTAGACAAGACATCCAAATAAAACCAGCTTCCTCCGCTGCTCGAGCTGTGCCTCTTCAGAGTGGTGGTAACTTTCCTTGCTCTGATCTCTCTCCCCCTCCACATCGTCCCTGCCTGTGTCTATGGCCCTGTGTGGTTGTTTGAAACATGAATCCTGGATACAGATCTATTTAAGGTTCGGAACTTACATTTAATATTGAGATGAAACTTTGGTATAGCCTGGTCTATACACCTAGCCTCTCAAGGGCTTCATCCATAAATGCCTAGGATTATTTTGTAGACATCGCCTCTGTTTCTCTTATACCAGTGCTGGACACCTAAACTTTTATTCGAAATTCAGCAGTGCCCCAAATATTTCCTTTGGGAGGTAATAACCAAAAACCTAAACAGTGTATGCCTCTGGAAAATAAGTCTAGCTGGCATTTGCTTATGGCTGGAAGCAGAATTTTCTGAATTTAGATTAATTTAGTCCACTTAGTGCTCATCAAGCTAGATGTGAGCCTTCCTGAAAAATCTCAGTAGGGTTTGGGGTGTTTTAGTCTGTTGCTTTTTAATGGCAGGGCTAAAATTATTTCACTGAGACTCGGAGACCTGGTGGTTGTGGTTTGTTTTCGTCTTCTTCCTGCACTTCTGATAGGCTAGGTCCATTGAAAGCATACTTTCTAACAGAGAAGAACATGGTATTTTCAGGAAAACTATCTTATAACTGGTCCCAGAACCCTGAACATGTTTTTAGTAATTTGCGGTAGGGGATGCAGCACGCTGCCTTTGGTACGCTGAAGAAATGTAAAGCCCTCCTTGGGTAGAGATTGCTATGGAGAAGTTCCAACCCGTGTTCGGAAAGTGATTGGTGAATCTACACTGGAACTTTCCTCTGTTCAGAGATGAACAAAAAATTGGCTTCTAATTGTGTTTCCACTCGGTACCATACGTTTATTTTCTTTGCAGGAATATGGCTTTTAGAATTCCTTTTTTAAAACTGAACTGTTTATTTTAGTGATCACTGTCCCATTTGTAAGGATCCGTTTCGCTAGTACAAGGTGTGTTTAGGAGCAGCAGAGTAGCGAGTGAAGGAGGCAGGAACCGAGTTCTGGGAGTTATCCTAGTCTGCCCCAGTGCCCCGGCCTTGGGCCAAACAGAGGTGCCACACCTCATCTCGCAAATCAGGGCTGAGGATGTCTCGCCTGCATGAGGACAGCAGGATGGGCAGGATTCTTTCTAACACTTCAAGTCTGTGCTGATGCAGATATTAAATTACCACCCCGAGTGATCAAATACCTTTTCCTTTGCAGGTACTAAACATTTACATTTAATATGCATCCCTAAGGAAGTAAGCCCCACTGAGAGAACATACCTAGTGCAAGTGTAGACATTTTTTTTCAAAGAACTATTTTTTATAAGATGAGATAATGGAAATAGTTTTGTTTTTTCCTTTAACCTTCCCACTGTTGTTTACTATAGAGTTTTTTCTTAATGAAGGGTCCTCAAATTATATTCCATAAGTTTTATTGTTTTTGTTTTTTTTTCTTTCAAAAGCCGGGGGCTCTCTTCCCTATAGCATCCAGACAGCAGAAAAACAGAACTGGCTTCATTCCTATTTCCAGTAAGTAATTGGTTTGCAGTGCTGCTGCTGCTGCTGCTGCTTCAGGAATAAGAGTGTTATTTGTCAGATTTTTTCAAGAACCTTACATAAGATAGCTATATATTTTAGCTGCATGTGTTACTGAATAGAAATAATTTAAAGCAAGGTTTAGAACATTTTTTTGGAATAGGTTTTTAATGCCAAAGTAAAATTTATCTCTGTGGCATTTCTATTTATATATTCGCACACAAAACGATAAATAAGAGAGCACATTGGGTACTTTAGAATTTACAGTAGTACCTTTTAGTTCATATTTCCAGTGCGTAGAACATAATCATTCTGTGTACACGGTCTTTCACTGTGTGCCTGCAAGCTGCTGAGGGTAGGATCCTCGCCCTGCCCCTCTAGCACTCAGGGTAGTGTTTGACACGTTGTAAGAGTTCGGTGCGTGGCTGAATGGACAGCGAAAGGAATGTCCTTTGTCCTCGAGCTGCAGCAGTCGCACATCTGTATGTTCTGGGCTGGTCCCCATTCCTTACTTGCTTCAGCAGCCACTTATTTGGCTGGACAGCCAGAAACGAAGGCAGATCACATCCCAGTAGCTCTCAGTATGATCCGGGATGTCATCTGGAAGCCCTCCTTTAATGCTTTTTCAGGAAGTTGTTCCTTCCAGAGGACATTTCTTCAGATTGAGTGCCTTCCAGTATTGTCTGCATTCAGGTGGATTTGATAATCTGGCGATGGACCTAATCCTGATCGGTTTCTGCAGACAATCTGTTCTCTTGAGGGACCATCCTCTGATAAGTAAGGATTGTCGCCTCATGATCCAGGCGATGATTTTTTCCCGTGGCACCTTAGTCCTTCAATGTTGGAAGCCTAGAAACCAAACAAGATATGCAGGTGTCAGCATTTGATGAAAGTATTTCTGATGTATCCCCCTGCTTTTCAGCTTTATGATATTCATACTGTTCGCATTTTTCCCGTTTTGTATTTTTGTTTTATCAACAAGCTTTTACTGAGCCTCTACGCAGAAAGGCCTTGTGGGAGCACAGTTTGAGCTTTTAAAACCTCACAGTCCAGCTAGGAGACGAGATGTGCAGACATGCTGTTGAAAGCACAGCAGAAATAATACAGTATTTGCTTATGTGTGCGCATTCACAGCAGAGAAGCCAGGGGCGCCAGGTGCCAAAAGGTGCTTTTTGTAGGTGGTGGTAAATTTTTTTCCAACTTACCTACATTCCAAAACTAATGTGTGTTATTCTGCCACCTGAACAGAGTTTTAGAAGATCTCACAGGTCATATCAAAGAGATCTGTGTACTCGCTGTTTTTTAGATTACAAGATTTTGCCTTTCTTATCAGTAATTGTGTCTCTCCTGTCACTAGTAAGTGGTCGGCTGAGACTTCTGGCCGCACTAACGCCATGCCACACATTAAGACTTACATGAGACCCTCTCCAGACTTCAGTCAGATCGCTTGGTTCCTTGTCACAAGGTAAATGGTTCTTATATTCCTGATGGGAGGGATTTATAAAATGTGTTTGTAACTCCTGCTCTGAACACTGAATGGGTTTCCAAAAGGGGATTTTATGAATCGTCATTAGTTTTCTGTGTTTCTCTCTCACGTGAGCCTTATTTAAAGGAGCCCATAACTTATGCCTTTATAGAGAATGCTGTCATGGCCTGATTTTACTCACATAGCACCTGAGAGACAGAACTTAAATAACACAGAAAATGCTTAAGCATTTTCTCAACCATTCCATAACAACGGAAGAGGTAGACCCCAGATGTAAATGATACCTACTGGTAACTGCCTTCATTTTTTTGGTTGTTAGCCACCTCATCTCAAAGTCAGAACATCCCAAACTGAGCCCGTCTGTCTCAGGAGATTTCTTTCCCAACATCCTTCTTTGCTTTAGTGGCACCTGCGCACTCTCACATCATCAGGCTTGCAGCCCACTGCCCTCTTGTCCTGTCCCGTCCTTCGAGCATCCTGCAGCATTAACCATGGTCCTTCCTCCAGTGGGTGCTGGACACACAGGATAAAACAGTAAGGTTTACACAGTGCATTTGAGATGCTCAGAAAACAGACACAGAAGTAATGGCAATAGGAAGGGATCCGTTCTGTGCTTGAGGTGGGCACGTGGGTGCTTTGGAAATACCCATCCAAGCCTATTCATCCTTGAAATGTCTCAAACTTTGCTTTTCTAATCCTTGAAGTTACCAGGTCAGATACTTATCACCTGGACTCCTGAAAAGGCCACCCGTCTGCTGTTCCGTCACACGGTTGTCCTCTTCCCAGGCCCCCGTCCTAGTTGTCAGTGACCGTTTGCCTTCGCTAACACGAGTTTTCCTCCTTGTCCTGTGTTCAGAATCCTCCCGCGCTTCCTGTAGACTAAGTCCGGAGTCCTCAGCCTGGCACTCAGACCTTCCACACCTGTATTCCCCAACACATGCTTCCAGAAACAGCCAGGCTACCCTCTGCCCCTGAAATCATCCTGCCAGCAGCCCATGTAGTTCCCTCTCCTGATCCCTTTGCCGTCTCTCTGCCTCTCAGTTGCTGCTCAGGTCCAGTCTCTTCTCTTCCTGTGGGCTTTGTCTCCCTCCTCCAGATCCTTTAAGCTAATGTGCACTGCTTACTGTCAGCTCCAAGTGCTCTTCTAAGCACATTGCATCCTCTCTTCTTCCCTCCTCTCCCTCCCTCTTTCCCTCCTCTCCCTCCCTCCTTCCCTTCTCTCCTTCCCTCCTTCCCTCCTCTCCCTCCTTCTCTCCTCTCCCTCTCTCCCTTTCTTTCTCCCTCCCTCCCTCTTTTTCTCCCCCCCTCCCTCTCTTTCTCCCTCTCTCTCATAATCCTCACAGCAGTTCTACAGTGTAGTTATTAATCCCCCACACAGATGGGGAACTGAAGCACAGAGAGACTGAACCAGTGCCCAAGAAGCCAGGCCCACCCTCAAGCACTGTGCTCTGGGGTAGTGAGTCCCTGGGCTAGGTGGGAGGCTGCTCATTAAATAGACGCTCAGGGAATGCCTGACTGACGTCACATTTAAGCAGAGACCTGAAAGAAGTGAGGGAGCCATGTGGACAGAGAGCTGGGGGAAAGCATTCTGGGCAAAGGGTGGAGAGGCAGAGGCAGGAATATACTGAGAATATACGTTTGAGAAACAGCAAAGTGGTTTTGCTGGAGTGAGCAGAGTGGGAGGGCAAGTGAGATCAGAGCAGTAACTCTGGCCAGACTTTGCCTTTTACCTGCTTCAGAGGCCAAATTACTATTGCCTGGTGCCTCCTGGGTTTCCTGAAGCTTTGTTAGTTATGGGTCTGAATGAATGTATTTGATCATTTGAATTGAGTAGAATAAGTGCTTTGTAAATATTTGTTCCATGAGGCAAGACATGGTTTTAATGTAGCTGGCTTTAGCTTATGCCCAAATAGTGTGTTTCTCAACAGGGCCCTGTTGGCATTTTGGTCAGGCTAATTTTTTGCAGTGTCAAGCCTCATGCATTAAGGAAATTCAGTAACCTGTCCCTCACATACTAAATGCCTGCATGGTGAAAGTCCCCTGGGTGCCCCCTGCCTTCCTGAGTACCCCCTAGATTCTGCCCTGGTGGAGAATATGAGCACCTTGAGAATAAACTCAGAGCTGACTTACGAGAGCTGCTCTGCTTTCACTCAATATGTTTTCCTGCTTCAGCCTGGTGAGGACCCTGGATTCTAGTCCAGATGAGGTGACAGTGCTGAGCAAACCTTACAGTCCTTCAACCAAGTGGCAGATGTTTTATGTTTTAAGAATTGGATTTTAGCAAAAGAAACACATCAAAAGCTATATAAATTTAACTCCTTTTTTGGACACTTTCCTCCTTTTATTATTACCAGTGTTCATGTTTGGGAAGCATGACTGATTCCTTTAACTGCACCAAAGTTAAAACAGTTCCCAGAAAAAATGATAAAAGTAATAAGGTAGATGATAAGGAATAATAATTTTGACTGAAGTGATTATGAAACTTTTTATAATCCTGATCCGCACACCTAAAAAAAGTGTCACCTTTTGAAATTTGGTACTTTTACACTTCTGTTTTGGACCTTGTGTCAGTTTCCTGCTGCTGTGTAATAAGTTACCACAAACTGATTAGTGTAAGTGGAGGGTCAAATTGTCAAACAGGGCTGCAGTCTCCTCTGAGGCTCAAGGTTCTCTTCTGAGCTCACTGGTGCTTTGCAGAATTCTGTTGCTTATGGCTGTAGGACTGTTTCCTGCTTTCTTGGTTGTTGTCAGCCGAGAGCCATTCTCAGTTCTCCGTGGATAGTTCACAGCACAGCTGCTTGCTTGCACTGAAGCCAAAGGAGAATCCTCAGGAAGAATCCAGTCCCTCTCTTAAGGTCTCATCCGATAAGGTCAGGCCCACCCATGATCATTCCATACCTTTTGATTAAATCAGTTGGCTGATTTGTAACCTAATCATGGGAAAGAAATCCCATCATATTGACAATTTTCGCTCCCTCTTAAGGGGAGGGATTATACAGGGTATGTACACTGGGGGCAGGGGTGGGAATTCCACCTTCCACATGCCACATGGGTATTTACTGCCCAGTTTCATTCATCCATCTTATTCTCCAGCCTTCATTTGAAGTAATTTCTTAATTTTATCTCTGTTTTCAAAATTGAGGTTTATTTTCCACAGTCAAGCAAAACTACCCTTGGATGTCCTCAAAAGACTGAACCCCAGGCTCCCAAGGCTGTCTGAGAGTGAAGTTCTGTAGCTATTTGGAGACAAAGGAGGCTGCTTTATTGGAGTGAGGGAATAGTGCTGCAGCGCGGTGGACAGGGCTGTGTAGAGTTGTTAAAAATAATAAACCTTATAAAAGATAAATAGGATTCCTGTATGTCCAATTTCCTGATCTTAAAAAAGACACTCATCACTTGAGAGGCATACTTCACATATTTCCTA